GTCCATCCGGGAAGAAGAAAACGGAATCAGTCCGCAGTCACTTCACCTTCTCCTCTTCCTGCTGACTCAGCGCTGGGCTGCCGCCACCGACAGCAGAACCTTGTTGCTGACGACGCTACGGACGCAGGACACGCTAGGGTCCCCAGCCGGATGAAGAAGGCGGGAATCCGAACCAGGGGGCCACTCCCGGCCCTGGCGGCTGGAAAGCACGCTGCCAGGGGGCCCGATGGACGCCCGCGCGCCCAAGGCCGTCCCCAAGCTGCCCCCCCAGCACCTGAGCGCCCCGGCCCGGCCCGCGCCCTGAAGCGCGCCGCCGCACAGGTAGGCGCCCTTCTCCGGCCGCGTCCGAGCCACGCGGCTGGTTCCTGCCGGGGCATCCCGGCCGCACCCCACCCCCGGCCCCCGAGCTCCCGGGCCCGCGGAGGAGCCGGGTTCGGGCAGCCCAGGGGCGTTTCTGCGGTGCAGGAAACCCGGGGGCTCTCGGGGGAGGAAGTTCATTGCCACCTCCTTGGACCAAAGCGAAACCTTCTAGTTCTTAAGGACCCAGGAGCTCGGAGAGCCTCCCTCCTTCTGCCCTCCCCACTCCTGCTCTAAGGTGCTCGCATCTCCCTCCTTCCCCTCCCGCCAAATATCTCTATGGCTAATGTGTTTGTAAGGCGACCAGATTGGGGGATGGTCGGTTGGAGTAATCCCATGCCACCCTTTAAAAGTTCAGGGTACTTCGCCGTAGTAACTTTGGCAGCTGCCCCAGTGCGCTCAACATTTCTTTCTATGGGCACATCCTGTACCCGTCATTTCGAAACCCTGCTTAATTGTTTTTAGCAGTTTCCTGATTGGTCTGTGATTATAGGACCCCCTTCAAACTTCGGGACACGTTGTTGTTTTTACTTTAAAAAAAAGAGGAGTCGTTTTCTTTGGAATCCACCTAGAGGCGGCTTTCCCCGTTGTAAGTTTATTGATAATAGCTTATTCTCTGCAAGTCGCTTAGAAAGGAAAAAAAACTGAAAGCGATAACTGTTCCTTCCACTAAACAGTTTTTAGAGTGCCCTACATTAATGGACAGGTATTCACTTCACGTAGATCTCATTCCTCCTTTTGGATCATTTAATTGATTAATATCATCAGAAAGAGCATTTTAAAATGACCTGGTTTATACGGGTCACACCCAAGAAACTCGGCTACCTTTACAAGTCCAAACTTCCAAACTTTTTGCAACAGACTTAAGCTGAGCTGCAGCGGCCTTGATGAAAAGCCCTTTTTTAGGAAAGCAGAAATTCATCCTCTTCCCCAGATTCCAGATGGGGTGGGTTGGAGTTGGAGAATGGCCACCTGTGGGTGCTGTTGTGTGTTGAGAGCCTGCTCGGTGTGGGAGGGGTTGGGTAGAAGAATGAATGGGCGCTGTCTCAGGAGGCTGGGAATCCTTGCAGGACTCTTGATGCTTCTGAACAATTCCTGTTCTCTCTCTCCCTTGGGTTAGGGACCCCTGGGGCAGGTGGGTCCTGGAGTTGAACTGGCTTCTCTTGTGGGGGAGGAGCTCCTCCCTGGGAACCTTGAAGACATTGGGGAATAAGGACATTGTATGAAAAAGTTTGTCAACAGAAAAGGGTTGACGACTATTGTTAACAGGTGTTTTGCATCTGTTGGGAATGGAATGCCATCACAGTCTCAAATCTATTTTTTTTTCTAATCAAGTTATAGGGAAATAAGACTCTCAGAAGTGCTTTCTCACCAGATTTATCTATAAGTAACTGACAAAACAAGCTACTGGATAGTGAGCATAGCTGTGAGTTAAAGGATGAAATGTTGAGGGGACATTTTCTTTTTTTTTAAATTTTTTTAAATTGATTTTTAAAAAAATATTTTTTACAGAGAGAAAGGGAGAGGGATAGAGAGTTAGAAACATCGATGAGAGAGAAACATCGATCAGCTGCCTCCTGCACACCCCCTACTGGGGATGTGCCTGCAACCTCCTCAGCCAGCCTTCCTGTGGTTCTGGGTTATGTCCGTTCCGTCTTTTAGTTGTATTTTTGAAGTGGTTGTTTGTGGCAGCAATCTCCGGTGTTTACCTATGCCGCCATAGGAAGGTAGGGAGAGGGAGAGAGAGAGAAGCATCCATGTGAGAGTGAAGTATCAGTTGGCTGCCTCCTGCATGACCCCTACTGGGATTGAGCCCACAATCAGGGCATGTGCCCTGACTCGGAATTGAACTGGCAATCCTTCTGTGCACCAGATGACACCCAGCCAATCAGGTGATAATGAAAGTAAATGCCTTTATGTGGATTTGTCTAGCTGTTTGCAAACCAGTAAAATAGGAGGAAAATTCATTGATTTTATAAATTATTAATTTAAAAAGTAAAGTTTTGCAAATAGGACTGTGACATAGTCGACCATTATCTTTCCCACAGAGCACTCTGGGGATTTCCCCTCTCACTATGATAACGTTTCTGGTTGGGTGCCATCATGTCAGTGCTGCCCTTTATCCCATTATGACATTGTTTGTCATAGTACCAGGGGGGATGAGAAAGAAGGGCAACTCTGAAGAAACATAGCTTGCTTCTTCTCCCTTGTTACCCAGCTATTGACAATCTCGGTCTCCTAATTCCCTAGAAAACAGCCTTTGCCTGGCCAGCGTAGCTCAGTGATTGAGCTTTGACTAATGAACCAGGAGGTCACGGTTTGATTTCGGTGAGGGTACATGCCTGGGTTGCGGGCTTGATCCCCAGTGGAGGGCGGGGGTGCAAGAGGCAGCCGATCAATGATTGATGTCTCTCTCTCTCTCTCTCTCTCTCCCCCTCTCTGAAATCAATAAAAAGATGTATTAAAAACAAAACAAAACAAAAAACAGCCTTTACCAGAAGGGCTGCAGGGCAATCAGATGTACCCCCAAGGGGAGCCAGGTACGGGTAGTCAGTTCCTTTCATGCCAGATCTTCTTGGATGTACCGCTGGGAAACAGCCAGGAGTGCTGTCCTAAGCAGCATGGAGCTTCCCTAGTTCCCATTCACACCTACATCTCCAGTCATGGTGCCTGGAGTAGGGCTGCATGCTTGAGAGGGTTTTGTTTTTGAATATGTTTTAATTTTATGTCACAAAATGACAACTCCCTCAAACAGATTTTACTCCCTTCATAGCATTTCTCTGAAGGTCCCTAGTTTCCACTCTTCAGATTCCTCAGACTACCTAACATGTGTATCAGCCCACTTGGGGGCTCCTGTCTGCTTGTGTGTGGGTGCCTTGGCATACTTTGCTTTGCCCTTTTCCTTACCTTCTCAAGTGTAATGGCTGTATGAGTTCCAGAATGTGATATGTTTCTCAGGCCTTCTCTTTTCCTGATCATTAAAAGCTGGAGAAGCAGAATCTGTTCATTAAAAATGACGGTGAGTGCACTGAGCAGAGTGTTGGTGATGGCAAAGGGTTACCTTACAATTGCCTTTGCTGACTTTTATCTTCATTTCTTCCTTCCCAGCTCCACACACAGATAAAAATATTTTAAAACCAGATTCTTCACAAAAGACAGGAAGGTTTCCGTTTTCAAGGTTTTGACATTTTCAAGCCGAGATTTCCATTGGATGGATTCTTAGATTTAAGGGCAGTGTGTCCCTTTTCAGGTTTCAAATGTTCAGCAAAAGATCAGTCATATTTGGGCCATGCGAAGCAGTCTCAGCACTTAGGCCTCAGTGAAGCTGTGCAGAATGCAGGGAGCGTGCTCAGCACCAGCCAACAGGCAGGCATTTAGGCTTGAGTGCGCCTGTTTCCTTGTGACAAGCAGCAGCTCTTTTTCTCTTAAAAAAAGAATATACATATCTGCCAATACATTATGTATGATCAGTGATCCTACACTGCCAAAATAGGTAAGCATTATGGGTTCATTGTCAAACTTAATTCATCTATGTGACGTTCTTAGAACAGTGCCCGGTACAAGATTACTGAGGCCAAGAAAGATTTGGGTAGAAAAACAACCCAGCTAATCCACTAGAAAGAGGAATTTTAGAGTTATTCCCTTCTAGAGATATTCTTATATCTCAAAGAATAGAAATTTGGGCATAAGACAGGTCTGGATTCAAATCCTGCCTTCACCATTTACTAGTACAAGCCAGGGGACCCTTAGGTAAAATGGGGGTGATAAAACATGCTTCTCAGAGTTGTAAGACTACATATAGTATATGTAATATCCAAGAAGAGGCAATTAATCAATCTAGCAAAGTAGTTAAGCCCAAGTACAAACTCTGCCGAAGGACCTGGGTTCAAAACCTGGTTGACCACTTGTTACTAGTATGACTATGAGCAAGTGACTTCAGTTCTCTGTGCAGCAATTTCCTTCTCATTTTTCTTCTTTAAATTGGAGCTGATAATGATAGTATTTCATAATAGTCCTTATTCCAATGTGGTAATAACAATCTTTATTGTCCAAGGTGGTTGTGAAAGCTAAATTGGATAATAGACACAAAAGTGCTATTATGTGTTAACAATTATTACTAATAGTGGAATGGATAAAGATGTGCTACATATATACAGTGGACTATTACTCAGCCATTAAAGATGAAATCTAGCCATTTGTGAAAACACGGGTGGACCTAGAGGGTATTATGCTAAGTGAAATATAGACAAAGACAAATACGATATGATTTCACTTCTATGTGGAATCTAAAAATGAACAAACAAAACAGAAACAGACTCATAAATACGGAGAACATTTTTAAAATATATTTTTATTGATTTCAGAGAGGAAGGGAAAGGGAGAGAGATAGAAACATCAATGATGAGAGAGAATCATTGATCGTCTGCCTTCTGCATGCCCCCCACTGGGGATCAAGCCTGAAACCCGAGTATGTGCCCTTGACTGTGGGGAAGTATGGGACTTCGTTGGAAAGTCTGTAAGGAGGATTTTCTGAAAGGTCAGAGGCCTCTAGGGGACCTTGCTGAAGGCAGCAGATTCTGCCTTGACTTTTCCAAACAAGTCTGAGTCCTTGAGTGTTTTATTAGAATTTTAATGTTTAGATTTCAAAATGTCCTTGTTTGAAAGACATTACAGATGCAGGTGTCTTCTCAAGGATGCTTACCCTGTTGATTGTAGTTAGAGGTTAATTTTAGTTCAAGCTGTTGTTACAATAAAAGCCTAACGAGGCAGGCAATTGAGGCTTTTTTTGGCTTCTTATGCCAACCAGTCCCTTAGCCTCTACTTCACAGAAACGTGTGTCAAAGTAATCATTCGTCATTCAGGGTCTGCCAGTCAGCCCCAGCACTTGATTGGAATTGAACCCAGGACCCTTCAGTCCCCAGGCCGGTGCTCTATCCACTGAGCCAAACTGGCTTGGGCTGGAG